ACCACCCAAACCCGCCATCCACCACCCCCCACGCAACAAAAAAAAAAGAGTCACTTTGCCATGGCGCATATCATCAAACTTTTCGTCGCAAAGGATGCCGCTGTTATTGGGAGTTATACGGCAAATTATTCCTTAGATGTCCCCCCATAAGCAGAATCAGGCCCACCTTCGCTGCGTTCACCGTCTCCAGAATATGACGTCATCTGTCATCACCGTCGAGCTCAAGGAGGCCTACCATAATCGCTCCATTCTGAAGCTGCTACATAATTTCTTCAATCGGATAACTGGTGAATGGACTTCTTAGGGACACTAGCTCTGACTATGCAAATGGCTTTTGACCAGCGTTTCAGAGACGTCGTAATCGTCTATGGTTTCTCGACGACCCCGTTGAGCTCGTACCGTGAACCATGTTTCCGTGGGAAAATCTTCTGATGTCGTCGGTGTAGAAGCCCCTATGTAATTTTTTGATAGAATAGAATGTGCTCTTCAATATGCAATTGAGCTCATTCGGTTTGGTTTTGGCAAAGTGTAATTAATTCCTGTTTTGAATGTGAGTGAGTGACTTTTTTTTTGCCCCCCCCCCTGTATGTATGTAACAATGTGTGAACGACTTTTACTCTACCGCTTACGCCCAGGCAAATGCATACATTTATAATGCCACGCCAGAGGAGCAGTCCATTACGTTACTATAATTTTGCGTTTTCTATGACACTTTCCACGGATCTCTTTCACTGAGGGTCCTCTCTCACTGAAAGATCTCGAGCCGGTTGGTGGCGAGGCTACGTGGCGCGACCCCAGGTGGCGGATAGGGGGTAAATCGCGGACCAAAAGCCACCATGTACTTGCCCTGAGACGCAGGTGGATTCAGGGGATGGACTCCCTGTTTCTGTAGTGCTGTGTTGATTCATACCAGCTGTCTCCACTCAGGCGCATCCATGCATGCTTGCGTGTGTGGTGCGCTCTGTGTGTGTGCGGTTGGTATCCTGCATGTCGGCACAGCCAAAAGCTTGCATTCAAGTGACTGGGAAGTACATGGGAGGCGATTCGGGGCCGCCTCCAAAAAATAAGCCCCTTGTTCCGCTCCAGGATAGCGTGGCTAACTACCTGGAGGTCTATCCTAGCCCACACGACAGAGCCTGGCAAGCTACTCGTGTGCCTTCAATATGCCGAAAACAGCAATATGGATGGGCCTCATTCCCCTGAACCTGAGGGAGCCCCCAATACGGCAGCGTTGGGTAGGACCGCTCGGGAGAGGCTGCTAGAATCTCAGGGCCCGGATAGGCTGCCTAAACGAAGAAGGACTAAGATGGCGATCTGTACTTTCAACGCACGAACGCTTGCATCCGAAGCTCACATCGAAGATCTGATGATGCAGGCCAGGAAGATCAAGTACGACGTCATCGGACTGACCGAGACGAGAAGGCACCGCCCGCTACACGCCGTTTTCGATACTGGAGAAGAACTGTTCCTTGGAACATGCGACAGCAGAGGCGTTGGCGGTGTGGGTGTCCTCGTCAACACGCACTTGGCCATAAACATCGATTCGTACGAAAGCCTTACGACCCGAATCGGACGTTTGAGATTGAGAAGATGTGGTTCAACTCCTGCTTTGACAATCTTCGTCGCCTACGCACCAACATCCAGCTACGACGAAGAAGAACACGAAGCATTTTATATGGAATTGGAGAAGTTCTACAGGAAGATCATACCTTCTTCAAGGTCATCGTCGGCGACTTCAACGCTAAGATTGGCCCAAGAAGAACGGCTGAAGAACTTCACATCGGTACTCACGGAATGGAATGGAATGAGCAGGGAGAGACTGTCTGAGTTTATCATGTCGACCAACACCATCCATGGTAACTCACAGTTCCAAAAGCCCCTCACCTTCGTTGGACTTGGGAGTCACCTGATGGACAGTTCCATAACGAGATAGACCACATCATCTTCAATCGAAGGTTTTGCCTGACCGACGTCGCTGTTGTTCCGAAGTTCTACACGGGATCGGACCATCGTCTCCTCCGCGCAAAGTTCCACTTTTCGATGCGTGTTGAGAGAGCCTCGAAGTTCAGGAAGCGAAGCCCCAGGACAGTCATCAACTGGGATCACTTCGCTTCCCTCGTCAGCTTATGGGAGGATTCCGTCATCGAAAACATCGACGAGGAGTACTATCGGCTCGTTGAACATCTTCACGATTGTGGCAAGAAGGCAGAGAGTTTGAAAGTCACCAAGGGACGTCTGTCTCCGGAAACTCTCGAACTGATACGCCAGCGGGGGCCGCCCCCCCCCCCCCGCCAGCGTGGAGCCGCACGAGCTGCAGGCAATCACCGACTCACGTCCGAGCTTGCGAAGCTATGCAGAGAGGCGATAAAGGAAGATCTCAAGGAGCGAAGAGCAGCAGTATTAGCTGAAGCAGCAGAGGCTGGGAGGAGCATCCGCAATGCCCGCCGAAGCTTTGCCAGCTACAAGACCAAGATGACCTGCCTCCGACGTCCGGATGGAACAGTTACTGCATCCCGAAGGGCAATGGAGAAAGTCATCCACGACTTCTACTCGGATCTCTTCGATAGCCATGTCCATCTGCCCACTTATCAACTGCAACAGGATGGATACGTCGTCCCCTCAGTTCTCTCTTCCGAAGTCCGACACGCCATCAAGTCGGTGAAGAATCGTACAGCACCCGGTCTCGACAGGGTCAAACCGGAACATCTGAAGAATGCGCCGCCAGTTATCATCAAAACTCTGGCTCGACTCTTCACGCGCTACCTGTCGGAATGCAAGGTACCCACTCCGTGGAAAACCAGCAGGACCGTTGCTGTACAAGAAGGGAGACCTGGACGACATTGGCAACTATCGCCCAATCTGCCTGCTGTCTGTAATCTACAAGCTATTCACTCGAGTCATCCTTAACAGGATCGGCAGAATACTAGATGAAGGACAGCCATGCGAGCAAGCAGGGTTTCGAAGAGGGTTCAGCACGATCGACCATATCCACACGGTTACAAGACTCATTGAAGTTTCACGAGAGTACAAGATGCCGCTTTGTCTCACGTTCATCGACTTGAAGAAGGCCTTCGACTCTGTGGAGACAGAAGCGGTCATCGAAGCCTTGGGCAACCAGGGCGTCCCTACTCAGTACATCAAGATTCTTCGTGAGCTCTACAGCAACTTTACGACCAGAATCTCACCATTCTACAAGGAGGTCATCATCGACGTCAAGAGAGGGGTTCGACAGGGCGACACCATCTCGCCCAAACTCTTCAGCGCCGCTCTCGAGAACGTCATGCGTCAACTGGAATGGGAAGACATGGGAGTGAAGGTCGACGGCCGGCAACTACACCACCTTCGTTTTGCTGACGACATCGTTCTTATAACGCCGAACATCGAGCAAGCGGAGCGAATGCTGGCTGATTTCGACTGCGCCTGTGGTAAGGTTGGTCTACAGCTGAACCTAACGAAGACGATGTTTATGAGAAACGGATTGGTTCCTGATGCCCCATTCACGCTCAACGGAACGAACATCACCGAATGCTCCAGCTACGTGTACCTAGGTCGGGAAATCAATATGATGAACGATCTAGCTCCAGAGCTGAGCAGGAGGAAACGAGCGGCTTGGGGAGCGTATAAGAACATCGAGGGAGTAGTGAAGAAGACGAAGAACATCCGGCTCCGTGCCCACCTCTTCGATTCCGCTGTCCTTCCTGCCCTAACCTACGCCTCAGAGACTTGGACTCTGCGCAGGCAGGACGAGCATGCGGTCAGCGTTATCCAACGCGCTGTCGAGAGGACGATGCTAGGAGTAACCCTATACACGCAAGTGCAGAGGGGAATCCGGAGTGCCGAACTACGCCAACGATCGAAGATCAGGGACGCTGCCGTTTTCGCCAAGGAATCGAAGATAAGGTGGGCCGGACACGTCATGCGATTTTGCGATGACCGTTGGACCAGAGCGGTTACCGACTGGATCCCTCGGGACGTCAAACGAACACCTGGACGACCGCCGGCCCGATGGTCAGACTTCTTCACGAAAGCTCTGAACGAAAGGAATGATGGACTTCGTGTCCCTCGAGCAAGGAGGATCCACTGGACCACCCTAGCACGCGACAGGGACGAATGGAGACGTTGCTGGCGCCCGCTCGAGCAAATCGACGATCAACGGGACGACAGGTGACAGGTGAGGTAGGTGACACCTTGTAGCACCTTTTCTCTGTTATGGAATCGAAGACAGCAGTGGGACAAAGAACATCGATTACTTGAACGTTTGCAGCTACCATGGAATAGATGGTAGAAGGAGAGCCTCGATCGACAAGCCAAATTTGGAGCGCTGAACCATGTCAGCGTGACCTGCACTGAAAAGCACATTTCCGGTGCAAAAACCCTAACTTTTCTCCTAAAAGACCCATATGGCTAACGTAGCGGGCTCAAGCCGGAGAACAGAGGCAATACCAAGGGTTGATCGGCCAAGAAGCCTCATGTAGACTAGTTTGTCTTCAGCATCATTTTCAATTATGTTAAGTGTGCGAACGGCCAGTTTTCTCCTCACACTTATTCAAACCACTTCAGAAGTAGCCCAGGTAATCAGCTAACAGACAGATGAAGATCCGTTCTGATAATTTGTAAAGAAATATCATAAGTTCTTACTTCCGGCATCTCGACTGAGACTTCTCCTGCCATAATAGCGAAAGGTAATGGAACTTGAGGCGACTTCTGAACGACGAGCACAGTTGCCTCAAGCAAAAAATAACTTGGCAGCATTATGGGCAGCCCTACGTCAAACTATTGCCGGTCAGGAGGGCCGCAACGTGGCGAGGTGCAGACTCGTAGCATTTCTGGGTGAAGTTCTAAACCTACTGTGCAAAAATAGCTTCAAATCAGGCTAGAAAAAGAAAAGAATAGGAAGAGAAAGGATTTTCCGAAATTTCTTCATACAGCGGTCTAGTGCTTAAAATGCCCCGACGTGATCATAATCACGTGCGATACCTTACGCGACAAACGCGATCCTGTCATGCGACGCCGTTCACCTCGCCTTGGACCTCTGGACCGAAACTCACGTATTGAACACTCACCGCCGTCGGCGTGCGAGCAGGTGTTTTTTTCCGCGGTTGTTGTGCTACTTTACTTACAGCACTAATTTTTGGCAGCGTCACTCGCTTTGCACACTTATTGCAGGAATCCTTGGGCTAAATTTTCAGTTTCTTGTGAACGAAATCACTAACAAATTATAAAAACACCTTTTGCCCTAACGGTGGTAGTTTTGCTTGCCGCAATCTAGTACGTGTAAAAATATTGGCCAATCGTTCGGCAGTACTACGAGGTGCCTGAAATCGGAGTACAGTGACGACAGTACCTAAACATCCGCTATTAGCTCTTTCGACGGATTCAAATCGAAAAAGAGAGAGCCATGTTCTCCACACTTTGATTTATTAACTTCTACTGGGCCGCAAATCGGTCGAAGCCAGGAGCAGCATTTGTATTGCGATACATCATGCTTGTTTTCGTTCACCGTGCAGCATCAGAATGGTCAAACCTGCTTCGCTCTGTAGACTGCAGTCTGAAGAAAATCCCTGCCAACTTGGCCTGCTGTGCTCTACCTTTTGAAGGCAAACCGCACGAATTACTTTGCTGTGACACCACCACACTCAGACATTTCAGGTACACGGTGAGCTAAAGTCTGCCTTTTCGAAAAATGTAAGAGGCCTTGAACAAAGAATCCCTATGAGTTCGGAAAAACTGTCAAATACAGCAAAACTGTATGAAGCCAATCTCGGAAGCAACTCAGTGGGTAATATTCTCGCAGTTCGGCCTTGGCCTACCGGTCTCCTTTGCATCAATCCCTGAGAACTAGAAAACTCCAACCACGGTCGCCCACAAATCCAATAATATCCTCGTGTTCTACGGCAACCAGAGATCACGATTTCGAAATTTCTTCACGTTTACAGTTCGAAGCTTAGTTGAGGAAGCTGCTACCACGGTCCACCATGGCCGGTCGCCTTTCCGAAGGCCAACTACACTCCTTGATAAGGAATCATTTACAAACGAAAAATACGGTTCAAAGAAGAAGTTCGAAATCGACCCCCCTGCCTTTTCCAGCTTGAAATTGGCCGACCTTCTGGGAGCACGGCGTCGACACTCCGGCGGATCATTGGCAACGAGTCGCTCGTAATCGTCCATATATCGACGGGCGGCATGGCTTTTTGTTGAGATAACGTTAACAAAAAAAAATTTTCGAAAGTGGCACAAACTTTTGGGAAAACCTGATACGTGCACTATCCAGCCGTTTGTGATTTTACCACACTTCATAATTACCTACCAACGCCTACGCAGCAACGAGTATTTCACTAAAAGTTGAAGTACGACAAAAAAGCTTACTTGATTCTTGCTCTCACGGTGATCGTCTATGGAGTGAGTATCCCTTGGAAAGGCCAGCTGGCGACTGCGTTACGAGAACATCTGTAAACCAATTTTATGACCGTGAACGTATTTGAAACAAGCTCTTAAAAAAGATAATGACGCACCAATTCTTGGAAGCGCACCCTATAATGCAAAAATTTTCGTCCAAACACCGGCGGGTAATGCGAACCTGCGACAATTTTCATATGACAAATTTGATCGCTCAACTTCAAGCAGTTTAAGTAGAAGTTTGAACATCATATTTTCCACCAATATCTCAAGCTTTATCGATTCGTATAGGTCTATTCAAGGTTCCATGAGGAATAGGAGCCTTACCTGGCAAGTTCAAGTATTAACATTTCTAAAATTCTTACAACTTCGGTGCTGAACTCACCGTAGGGGAATTTATTGAGTAACCTGACGTGGAAGAGTGAGCGGTCAGCTAGCATAACTTTGACTTATAAAAGTGCACTGGAGACGACGTAAGCAAACCAGCCCTTTTGGCGTTTCTGCTGGGGCCGTATGCTGAATGTTGGGGAGGGGATGGGTCCCCGACGGTCGACGGACTACTTCAACTCGGTCCTTAAAACCGCCTCAATTTGATGCTTACCTCAGGACTAAGCCTTAAAGAGAGGACGGACCGCTCTCCAAGGCTTAGTCCTGGGGTGAGCAAACCAGCCCTTCTGGCGGAGCTGCTGGACCAGCTGCACCACTTGCGTCAGTACTCTCCTACCGTACCGACCGAGTTGAAGTAGTCCGTCGACCTCGGGGACCCCATCCCCTCCCCAACATTCAGCATACGGCCCCAGCAGAAACGCCAAAAGGGCTGGTTTGCTTACCTCGTACCGACTAGCGCTATAGCGGGGAATGGCCAAATCCAGCAAATGTAGTGTTTTCGGGAGGTTATACGTAGTTCTGCGTCGTCTGACGTCGCCACGACGCTATGAAATGTCGTTATCGAGTTTCCGCATGGAAAAGTTGCTTCTAAGCAGGCATTTCAAAGATACGGAATGCCAAAAAACCTTCCTACATGGGTAGCCTGCACCGGTGAGTGACTGTCGGCAAGGGTCTGCACAACTAGTTTTCCTGGTGAAAATGCTCACCAGCTGATGAGGATGAGGCTCTAGTGTGTAGGACTTTTGTCGACCTACAGATTAGAAAATGTCACTATGATCCACGATCTCCAGAATCGAGGAGACATATGTAGCTGGAGAGAAGCAGCTACGGTAGGCCCTGTCAGCAACGACTGATGAATTTATACTATCATGA